CTACACGATACGAGATCCATATTGACGAGCTCCACAAATGCATTACCCCTAGCTTTTGTAGTGTTTATGGATTATTGATGAGCAAATAAGTTAAATGGCAAAGGCAGTACGGACTAAAAATGTAGAGTAGATTTTGATTTTCAAGTGAAAACTTCATCTTAATTTTATTAAATGCAAGCATGGTATAAGCAAAGGTGATTATTCAGGAAAGACAGTCTCCAAATTGAGATAAGTTCTGATGATAATAGTAATAATACACATAACAGCTAAATTTTATCATGTACTTAATTTAATGTCACATATTTAATTTGTGGACTACATGTTAATCTTTTGATTGATTGTGCGTATACCGATGTCTCCTGAATTAGTGGGAGAAACAAGTACAAACATCAAGAGGGGGGAAAACCATATAAATATATATTCTTCCTCTTCATAAGGGGGAAAATTAAAATGCACTATATTCATCAGTATTTGAGAACTAACAAGATCATGAGCTATCCAGCTATTGGTCAATTCCTACGATTTCTCTACCCTATTGGAAACAATGCAGGCTCAAAGATTTGTTCAGCACTTCAGCTGCAGTTTTTCAGCTGATAGATAAACTCAAGGTAGAACTGAAAACTAATCCAAAAGAAAACGCAGTAAACCAACCAACCTTCTTAACAGTTAAGGACGCAAAGAACAATTATTTTTGTCTTTGCATGGGGAACTCTCTTGGAATTCTCTTGTCATTTCTCAGCATAGAGAAGCATGTCAACTTCTGTTGTGAATTGGGTCTGGTCCTTTTCTAACTGTCCTTTTGTCTGACTCATTAGGATCAAAGGAAGGTGTAGGTGCCAACTCCACCTTTGATTGCAAATCCTCCACTGCAACATCCTTTAGGAGACGAAAACTTCTAACCAATGGCAATAGTCCCTCATCCCATCTCAGAGCAAGATCTTTGCTTCTGAAGCCATAAACCTTAAATGATTGAGAAGCCAAAATCCCAACACAAACTAAAACAAAGAAGCCTCTAAAACTCAAGAGACTCATGCTCCTTTTTTGTGCTGTGGAATAACAGAAACTTGTGTGTTTGAAGCAAAGAAGAGGAGATAGGTAATGTGCTGGCTGCAACTGCAACTCCTCTATTTGTTGTTGTTACTCATTCGTGTATGGGACTTGGAAGAGTAAAAGCATAAAGCATGAGAAGCCTGGAACATGTAGGTAAGGAAGTTTTAGATTCACCCCCAATCATAAGCATCCTATAGAAGCAAATTTATAAGGGTGTTGTGGAAGACACTGACAGGTTTTGAATAAAAGTTAATTGGAACAAGAACAATACCCTTGGGAAGCCAAGTATCTTTTCATTCAGTTTCCCTACGTCCGTCCCTATCATTTCTCATTCTCTTTTTTACCAAACAAAGACCGAACCAAGTTTCTTCAACACTTTATCAATCTGCCACGTCAGCTCCGCTTGCTGATGTGTCCATGTATCGTACCATGAAAACGTTAGCTGACCAGCCAAGATTCCATGCATTGTGCTTAATTGCTGATGTGTTCATGTTTTATTTTTTTTTATTCATACGGATCACGGTAACGGAATTCACATATTATTTAATTTTCAATCACTAGCTCCATCCTTAAATAATCAAAATAAAATAAATTTAAATATTCTCATTAAAATTAATTTATGCTCTTTTTTAAATTAAAGATATTTCAACATATTCTCAATAGTAATTTATGAACTTATTTTATTAGAAGAAAATGAGATACACCAAAATAATCCCTAAAATCATAGAATTATCTAATTATTAGATAATATATAAAAATTCAATTATCTAATTCATTTTTTATCCACATATACTTAACTGTTGAGACTAAATTAACATATTGGTTAATATCTTTGATAGCATTAAATTTTTTTCTTAAATTTACTTTTTTTATTCAAGACTATATTTAACATTAAAGAATTTTACTCAACTAACTATTTATGGAATTAAGAATAATTATTTTAATTAAGGGCATTTTTTTAAAAAAATTACGTGGAATACATTTTAGATCCGTTCTTATAGACTAAACAACATTTCTAATTTGCGTCTTATATTGGAGGGAGAGAGTATTTTGGTACAAAGTTGCATATATTCTCCATGTAAGATGATTTTGCTTGATATACTATTATAGTTGAAAAAAAATTGTAGCTATTTAATATAATTGCATATATAGAGTTAGAGTTAAGACTACGTACTAGTTATCGTAATAATTTTGTGTAAATTAATTTATGTAGTTGGTGATAAATAATAGATATTTGATCTTTTACATTATAAACATTAAACAACGGTGAATTTAATTCTGAAAACACTAATAAAGAGACTACCATACCAAAGTTTAACGAATTGCGTTCCATGACTACTAGAAATAAAAGGTAGAAGAAGTTCAGTGAGTCATTGAGAATGCTAATGCAACATAGACAAGAAAGTCATTAAAAGTAGAGCATTTTGGTAGAATAGGTGGGGAATAGCAACCACTCCCAAAAAAACCAACCAACCAATAACTGTCTTTTATGTTTCCCCTACTTTCTTTATGCGAACTATCTTTAGAATTCCAAGCACTTCTATCCATGAAAAAACAAACATGCATTCTCGGTTTCTTGTGTTTAATGGAATTCCTTTATGCTTTTCTCATCTCTCTTTGGATTGCTTAGCCCAAAACACACCATTCAAAGTTTAAAGAAAACGTTTGTTAACTTCCAAATATGGCCAATCTTCCTTTATTTTTCTCGCTTATCCATGAAGACCAACCCCAACTCTCTTTTCTCCAATATCCTCTTGTCTCTTCTATCCAATATCTCCTTCAAACTCTCTTATAGTATTTTATAAATTTTTGGTTCCAATAGACTGGATAATTCATGTGTTTCATCACGTTTACAGAAAAAAGAATCAACGAGGGAAAGGGCATGGTCAATTACTTAGATACTCTTTCTGACCCACCACTTTAGAGCAACGTATTAAAGTAAAAGATATATCTGACCATTGTTTAAGGAAAAGAGAAAGAAATAAATGAACTGTTGCTTTACAAAATAACCCTTCACCGTCAGTAACAGCTTTTCAGATCCATCAATGTAATATAATCACTATACGATCAGAATGAGCTCAAAATGATTCCGGACTTACGGGTATCGCTAACCAGTGCGAATTAGTTAAGGAGTCAATATGTAAAAAAATTACTATAAAGTTATACCAAAAAATATGTTAATACACTTTTCAATAATAATTTTCTTTCTTTTGATTCATTAACCAGTGTTGTAACAGTCCTACTTAACATTTTCCCTGGCTTATGAACAAGCATTTGGTAGCTTCATTTTCCAATTTCTCATCAATTATTTTTTATCTGTACCAACCTCGGTCAAATGGTGATCGAGTTTGAACCAACTCGGCTTGTCCAAGCTTGAATCACAATATCAAGTAGTTAATTTAACGGTAATAATGACGGTTACATAGAGAAGGAAAACGGACAATAGCAGGTAAAAATATATACATTTCATTGGACAATCTCAGATAACTAATTTGATCGTCGGAGTCCTTTTTGTAGGTACATCCGAGACGCTTGGAGAAGGGCGACCAATCTCGGCGACCAATCTCGAAGACCAACCTCAAAGACCAATCTCAAATACCAATCTCTCATGATCTCTAGAGAAACCAAGATAGAGAAGATGATAAATCTGACTTGAAGGACCGACCTGATTCTGGTAAGAACATCTTGGCGCTAGAAGGAGGGCATGTAAAACTTTCCTCCGATAACCTTATGGTTTCAACTCGAAGCTAGATTCGCCATACAACTGAGGCTGTAGCCCATCGAACTTATGCCTCAACAAAATTCCACAACTATGGAAGTCATGCGCAAACAACCTGAGGCCGATCTCCAACGGTTACGGGCTAAAAATGGTATCATTGGATCCCAATTTCCCAACCAAACAAGTTACATCCCCCAAGTCGAAGAGGACTATCATTCTTCTTCGAACCCAACTTACCACTCCATGCGCCCTCCCACTTACCGATCTGGTCATCTGTACACCCATGGCCAATTTCATCGCGAACATGATCATAATACCCTTCAACATCGCTTTCTAAACAGTATTATGGAAGTCCCCCTTCCTGTCGGTTGGTAAGCTATAAACTTTGAGCGGTACGATGGTACTCAACTGCCACCAAGATCGGTGGACAACTTCAACACATTGGTTCGTCTATTCACAGCCCTATAGACTTTGAGCGATACGATGGTACTCAACTGCCACCAAGATCGGTGGACAACTTCAACACATTGGTTTGTCTATTCATAGCCCAATACACTACAAGTAGACCTTTCCATCACATTACATCGGCCACCCTTTCCAACCTATGACAACAAGATGATGAATCCCTACGAAAATTTATGGAGTGCTTTGCTAGCATCTCTATAAAAATTTGTAACCTTAATCCTGAAGTCGATTTGCACTTCATGCTCATGGCTTTGAAAACTGGACCCTTTGTGAATAGCCTTTGCCGACGCCAGCCAGCCAACATGGACGAACTCAGGGCACGTGCTGTCGGATACCTCCAGACAGAGGAACATGCCAAATTCAGGAAC